TTCCCAGCTGCCATCAAACAGCCTGATGTGACCTGTGTCCCCAAAGTGAGCTCTGTCCAGGTGGTTATTCACCCCACCTTCACGCCCATACGTGGACAGGACGGCCGCCCGCAAACGCTGCAAGACATCTTCCAGGACCTGTTGTACCGCCTCCAGCTCCAGGTCAACCACACCTATGCCATGGTGAGAGAGGGCTGCACCCCAATCCTCCCCGCCTGGGACACCCCTTTCCACTAAACTAGGTCAACATTGCTCCAAGCAGAAAAGGGGCGTATCGTATGAATTAGCACCCCAGACTGTCTCTTAGGAGGCTCTCAGAGCCTCGCACACATCACAAACCACAGGCTGCCTCTGTAGCCTCACTGACCGAAGGCCTTGAGAAGCCTTGTGAGGGGGCAGGACCCCAGCGCCCACTGCTTTCAGTTAGCTGATGGCACATTTCTTTGACCAGAGATTTCTCTTTTTTTGGTAGAATATGGACTGTGTGTTTCACCTAATATTTCTCAATATCCGGGAACCGACCTCCATGAACAATGCAGGGGTCCACTGGGGGGGGTGCGGGGAGCCTGGAAACAAAGCCTCCTGTCGCAGGCAGATGCTTCAGCTTATGATAGAGAAACACGTGCTATAAAAGTCACTTCCTTTTACATTGAAAAATAAGCATTGTATCTTCCCCCTAGCGTGTGCACTCACCCATCATTTCAATGGAAGGAATATGTATTTCCAGCCTGCTCTCGGGCAGTTTATAATCTAGTAGGTGGGGAGGGGTTAAAGCAAGCACTCAAACATCTACAAGCAGGGGAACAGAGGAGTGTCATGGGGGAAATAAGAAGTCAGTTTCTAGAACGTTCTCCTCACTGGGGTCAATCCTGTTTGCTGAGCACTTCCTGTAGGCCAGGTAATAGATCCATGCTGTCAGCTAATATTTTCAGCAGCCCGATGACGAAGGTACAAAAAAAACCAAAAAGCAAAGCCGCAACTCACTGTCCTCGGGTTGATGTCCACTCGCAGAGACCCTATAGGACACAGAGAACTGCCCTGTGGGCTCCAAGACTTAACCTTGACGGGAGGAGAAAGCCCCCTTTCTCCTGAGGAACAGCCGGGGGGTTAAACAGCTGACCCTGCAGTTAGCAGCCCAGGGGTCACCCACTACACCACCAGGGCCCCAAGGAAATGCTTTCTCTCCGTTTTTCTCATGAAGAAACAGAGGCTCAGAGAGGTAAAGTCACTGGCTCAGAGAGGTAAAGTCACTGGCTCAGAGAGGTAAAGTCACTGGCTCAAAGTTGCTCAGCAACGTAGCCAAGACTCAAATCCAGCTCTGTTCAAAGCCCATCCACCCACCCGCTAGCCTACTTGCTTCTTATTCTGATCAGAGAGGGAAGCAAGAAAACCTGGGGCCTCTCTGGAAAGCTCAGAGCTGCCCCATTGGGCTGGGACATGTTAAACAGTTTCTAAAAGCGTGATCCAGAACCAAGTACCACGGAACTCCTACGACATGTCTCCCACATGCAGGGCCCACCCACGGGTCACGTTGCCACAGCTGCATCCTGGGGGTCAAGTGTGACCACAGTGAGGGTGTCGACGAGGGCAGCAGCTAGAATTTATATAGTCAGACCCATGGGTGGCACAAGGGGTAGAGCACCCTAAACGCAAAGTAAGCACTCGCTTACCTGTGCTTACTTCATCCTAATCGACCGTGAATGGTTTCACCACATCAGAGGTGCAAAAACCCACGTGAGATGGTCCACTCCGGATTGGGAATGCGCAGCGGCAAGCTCACAGTTCACCTTGTGCCTCAGGTGCTCCGTCTGTGTCAAGGACTGTAACTTTGGAAAGAGGCTTTGAGTCGATTGGAAAGGGCCGTGGAGCTGAGAGGTGAATGCCAGCCAGGCCCAGGAGCAAACCTTTTATTCTTTAGTGTGACTCCTTATGGTGACTTGCCCGGAGGTTACAGAGTAGGCCATCAGTTTTACATCAACAATTCCGGCACATTTTGCTTCCTCTCCTCCATTACAATCCTTGCAGTGAGTGTGCCCTTGTTAATCCCGCTCCCTGTTTCCATCTCTCCTTCTTGCCTCACCCTTCTGAACTCTGTCCTTAGGGAAATGCTGCCCTTTTGATCTTAAATAGTTGATTACACTAAGGTGTGCATTTGTTTTATTGTTCCCCGTATAGACCTATCTAGTGTTTGGGCTGAAATGTGAGCCACCAGGATGAGTTCAGTCCCGGCCTGAAGGGTGACTAAGGACCCTACTCTCAGGGTCCCACCAGTCTCTATTCGATCAGTAAGCCCGGTCTCTTTTATGATTTTGAGTTTTGTTCCACATTTTTTCCTCCCACTCTATCCAGGACCTTTACCGAGCAGTTGGGAGTGGTGGCCGGGCACCATCTAGTTCTTTTGGTCTCAGGGTCCTGGTGACTGATTTGTGTGTGGCCCATTAGTCCATTGGATTAATGACGGAGAATCTTTATTGGGGTGATAAAAATGGTATTGATCGCTACAGATTAATAAGAATGTAAGCACAAATACACCCTTACTTTACCTTCTTTATCAGAGACTCTAACGCTGGGAGGCTTGCACAGATACTAACATAGAAGTTGGAGACCGCAACGCACCCAGGAGCACTGTGGAAGAATCTGCTTCTGTATGATTCCAGCCGCAAAGGCCTTATGCAGCAGTGCTGTTTTGTAACACAAAGGGCGTCCAGGGTTGGAACCCAGTGGACGGCGACTGGTCTGGGCTTTTGTTTGGCCAATGGGCCAGGCATTGTTCTGTGGACGTGCACCACTTCTTGGATGCGAGGCTAAACAGAGGGGGTGGAGAACGGAGACTGGCCCACAGTTTCTGGTTGGGGAGTTCGAGGTACCGTTTCACTAAGCTTGACAACCCAGGAGAGGTGGGGGTACAGACTCTATGGAGACGGATGCTGTAAAAGGAATGACTGTGGGTTCTCTGTCCCCTTCAGCACCTTGAAGGGAAGCAGAAAGAATACGAGTTCTTTGGCCTGACCCCGGACACCGAGTTCCTTGGGAACGTTGTGATTTTTATTCCGAACTGGTATAAGAAGAGCGCCCCCTATGTGTGCCGAGTGAAGACTTTGCCAGGTGAGTTCAGCTGGAGCCAGAGGGAGAAGGAAGTTGTGAATCCAGGCATAAGCCCCTCTTCTCCTTGTAACCACGGTGAGACTTGGCCGTGCTCTAGAAAGCTGTGGGAGCATTGTTAGTGTTTTATTAAGGCTAATCTTTGTTTCTGCCTAAATGAATTGGTTGACAGGTATCATAGCAAATGTTTAATCTGCACCTTCCAGTGTGTGTCTGGATTTCCTATCTCTGGCAAGCTTCCTGTGTGCCCTGGTAAAACAAATTGATCTTAATATCAACCCAAGTGATCTATCCTGTGGGCCCGCAGGGGATGTGTACAGAAGCTGCAGGGGAGAGGACAGAGAAGATAAAAAGACCTCTCGCTATCACCCAAAGCCCAGTCATAATACGGCCATCGTAATAACTAGCACTTCTGCAGGAGTCACCAGGACTGCATAGTGTCAGGAGGCCCTGAGGGGTGCAAAGGGACAATATGCTCAGCTGCTAATGGACAGGTTGGAGGGTCAAGTCCGCTCACAGGCACCACCAAAGAAAGACGTAGGGGTTCTATTCTGACACACAGGGGGTCTCGTGAGTCCTAATTGATGCAGCAGCAGCTAGAAGTAGGCACTGGGCACCGCTCCGTACAGGCCTCATAAGCCATGCACGAAGCAGGCACTGTTACTGCCCTCATTTAACAGAGGCGGAAATTGGGGCTCAGAGTGGTTAAGTCACACAGCTGTGGAGTGGGGGTACCAGGGTTGAACCCAAGCAGCCAAACCCTGCTGACCGTGTTCTCCCAGTGTGCTATTACAGAAATAGTTCTGAGTCATCTGCCTGGTGAGATAATGTCTCATCCCCCTTCCTCTGCACACAAGGCTGAAACTTTACTCTGGTCATAAGTATCATGATGCTTTTATTAGTGCTCATTTTCATAGAGAGATAAAAATACTGTACTGCCCAGAGCTGTATGTGCAGAGGATGGAACTGACAGCGGGTGGGTTGGAAGGCTTTCGAAAGGCCCTCTCGACCTTCGTCATCATATTCAGGTTAATGATGCCCGTGGCGGTTACTGCTGCCACCAAGCCCGCTTCGGAGGTTACTGTTGGGGGCCACGACATCGATTTCAACTCATAGTGACCCCGTGTGGCAGCGCAGAACTGCCTCAGAGGCTCTCCTAGGCTGTATGTTACGGGAGCCCGTCCCCAGGTCTTGCTCCTACAGAGACAATGGGTGGGCTCGAGCGGTCAACCTTTCTGTGAGCAGCTGAGAGCTGAACCATCACACCTCCAGGGCCCCAGGCCAACATTCAGCACGGACTTGAGACTGAGGCTGGACATGATGGCAGGCACCTGGTAAGGGGGACAGGGAAGTGCCACATGAGGCCGGAGGGGGCCCCTGGGGGAGCTGGTCTAGTGTCAGCTAGCTGGACCCCCAGGGGCAACTGCAGCTGGCTGGACTCACTTGGCCCAAGCGAGAGAGTTGTTGGTCCTCAGCTGTGCCCAGAAACTTGACTCCCTCGTTTTCCCAGGAGCCCACAGAGAAGTGATTTCCCCACCCGAATCCTGGTGCCCTGGTTTACAGGGGAAGGGATGCCTCATGGGCTTTTCTTACCAGGCCACAGCCTTCCCGGGAAAAGAGCCACGGGGGAGACCAGAATAGAATTTGGCAAGAGCAGGACTAGACAGGGGAAACTGTCTTCATGTGGTCTGGGCTGAGAGCGGGCTGTTGATAGGTGCCATTGAGTCCCGTCCAGCTAGCAGGGACCCTCTGGACCCCAGGACGACACACCGCCTGGTCCTGCACCATCCTCACAACAGTTCTCATGAGGGAGCCCATGGCTGCAGCCGCTGCGTCCACGCATCCTGGCCAGGGTCTTCCTGTCTCACGGCCCCTCCATGGGGCCTGGTCTCTCCTGACACCATGTCCGAAGCACATTGAGATGAGATCTCTGAGAGGCAGTCTGGCTGTCCTTCTCCCAAGACAGATTTGCACCCATTCCAAAGAACAGTGACCCTTTCCTTGGACAAATTATAGAACAAGCTCACTGAGATCACGCTAAGGGTAGATGTGTGATTTAGGGTCCTCTTCCAGAGACCAAAATAGACAAATTGCCTCCCGTCCCTCCCCCCACCCTCTCCTCACGTTGGACAATGTCTAAGCCACCCCACGCCTCTTCAACAGGTGGATTGATGCAGGGGCTGCCATCACGGGTTCACCTATGACAACAATCGTGAGGATGGGGCAGGGCCCGGCAGTTTTCAGTCTATTGTGCACAGGGTTGCTGTGAGTCAGACTAACACACATGTTGTCAGACAATACCTAACAACAACATTGTTAAAAGCACCTACTCCATTGCCAACCGCTGTGTTCACTTCTTGATACATAGTATCTCCTTTAGTCTTATAACAATCTTATAACACCATCCCGTTTTCCAGATGCAGCGCTCCAGGAGCAGAGAGGTTGTGTAATATGTCTGGGGCCACACAGCTGATCAATGAGTCTAGCTTTGTCCACCCGAATCCTGGGCTCTCGCCACCCCTTTGCAAAGGTGTCCCCAGCCATTTCCTGCTGCCCCTGTGTTCTGGAGACTCTCTGACCTCCAGAGTTCAGGCCTCCGGGTCGCCTCCTCTCAGGAGTCCCAGGTAGTCCACAGAACGTCAGCATAGCAAGGGGAAGCTGTACAGGGTGCTAGGAGTCATCTCACCCCATGTCCTCATTCCACAGATGAGGCCAGGAGGGTGAGCTTCAGGGGGACGTGGGTCAGCCCCAGTATCTCCACTGAGTGGCCATGAGACCTTCGTCACTTCATGTCTCTGAGTCTCAGCCTCCCTCTGTCAGATGAGATCATCCTTCTGGAGTGTGTTGATGATTTAGTTAGATGACACAGGTAGCCCACCCAGCACAGGGCACGGCACATAGTCAGACTTCAGCAATCACTGGCTACTGTCAAGAGACACGATGGGTCGTCCCAAACCACTGTTATCTTTATCATTACCCTCTTCCTCCCTAAATAGCATATGAGCAATTGGCCAAACCAGAGAATGTTCCAAGTCCTTATTCTAAAGTGTACAATGAGCAGTGGGGTTCCCAGGAACCTGTGACAGGTCATGTGGAGACACGTGGGTCAGGGCTTCTCCCTGCAGCAGCAATGGGGGGGAGGGGTGACGTTGACAGCCGAGGTGACAGGCCGAGCCATGCAGGCCGGGGCCAAAGCTGAAAGTGGCAGAGGATCCCACAATTCCAGGGCCACCAGCAATGGCCAAGGTCACTGACCACTGCTGATTGACTTCCAAGCTGAAGCCACAGAGGAAGCCGGGATCAGACAAAAAAGCTGCCTAAAGAGTCTGAGCCCCCAGCTTTACCAGAAGTGCCACCAACCTCTTCCTCAGCAAGCCTTTCACCAGCCCCTTTGGGTGGTGACAGGAAGTGGCCGTGCCAAGGACGGCCTGTGCCAATCCAAAGATGCCAGACCATAGGGACGAGGCTCAGACATTGAAGCCCTTGTGGTGTTTCTCTTCCCCTTTAAGAAAGGGCAGTGCCTTCCCAGCCTCCTGGCCCGAGCAAAGTCCTGCTGGTCCCCAAGCCATAGGGGACCATCCCTGAGCCCTGAACTTTAGAACCTTCCCCCTGCCCCCCTCCCCACACACACAGCAAAGTGGCCAGGCTCACCTTGACCCTTTGGCCTCCCTTCCAGACCACACACTGGGCACTTGGGGCCCCCAGTCCCGTGTGCAGACAGCTCGAGCCTGCCTCCAATCTGTGCAGACCTCCTCCCGGGTTTCTTCCTCCTGAGGATCGCAGCTTGGCTCAGTGGGTGGCCAGGGGGGCAGGGAGGCCCTAGCCGTGTGCTCTGGGGCACCCGTAGCATGTGGGCCAGGCTCCTGGCAGCATGAGTTGGAGCCTGGGTGGGTTCCGGGGCACTCCCTGCACCTCCCCATTTTGACACAGCACCCCAACGACTCCAAGGATTCGAAATCCAGAGCCGACCTTCCAAGTTATTATCAAGAGGTGTCCAGGTGGGAACACGGCGCATAAGTTATTAAAAAGTGTAAAAACATGGTTTGCTGGCTCTGGCTATTCAGAGAAGCCTGGTGTGAGGACTAGGTCCCTGGGTGGCGTAGATGACTTGGTCTATTAACTAAAACGTTGGCGGTTCAGACCCACCCTGTGGAGCAGTGGAAGGCAGGCCTGGACATCTAAAGGTTACAGCCAAGAGAGGCCCGTGAGCCGTTCTGCGGTGGAACTCACAATTGCCTGCATTGCAGCCAACTCGGCAGACCCTGGTTGGTCCCGTGTCTACCCTGTGTGAACCTCCATCGGTGCCTTGGCCCTGGCCCCACAAATAGTGGGGTGAGGAGGCCCCGTAAGCCCTGGCTCTCTAGTATCCCCTGGAAAGCCAGCCCAGCTCCGGGCCGGGCCTCAGACTGACCCTGCCCTCTCCCCCTCCTGACTCTCCCAGACCGTACATGGACCTACTCCTTCTCAGGCGCCTTCCTGTTCTCCATGGGCTTCCTGGTCGCCATTCTCTGCTACCTGAGCTACAGATACGTCACGAAGCCCCCTCAGCCACCCAACTCCCTGGTGAGCCATCCGGGCTGGGGTAGGAGGGAAAGGCTGGCGGGCAGAGGCTCATTCTAGGCTCCTTGGGGGTGCTCACTGTCCAACATAGAGCCAGCAATGGCCTGGCCCCAAAAGGGTGGGCAGGGGGTGGTAATAACGGGTGTAGAACAGAAGCCCCATGCAGCCCTGAAAGCAAGCACCCAGGAAGCAGGCCACTGTCCCCACTGGAGAATGGGGATGGGGGGGGGGGCGCCTATGAACTGGCTGGGCGGGCAGCATAGCGCAGCCACGTGGGAACACAGGTGCAGGGTGGCCCACTTGCGCCCGTTTGGGTTTAGTTTTCGGGAGGAGCCAGCCTTTCAGATGGTGACATGTAATCCCCAATCCTCAAACATGGGCAACACAGTTGAAACCTGCAAGGCCCTGTGCCAGCCACACAGATCCCACAGCAGCCCACCTCTGGCTGCTGGCCCTGCCCTCAGCTCAGGTGGCAGGCCCCACGGGGACGGGAAGGTCTGGGCACCTGGGGCTAGCTCCGCCAAACCCAGGGACCTAGCAGCGTTTGGGCCAAACCTGTCGCTCGCTCAGGGTCACGGCTGGGCCCAGAGGAGGCACTTCCTGTAGAAACCCCGCCCCCATTCCCTAGCACCTCCTTCCCCAGCTTGTTCCCCATCATCCAGCCTTGGAAACTGGGATCTCTCCTTCCTGGATTAGGCTCTTCCTCCTCCTGCTCGCGGTATTTGTGAGACAGTGGTGGTCCCATGGTTAACACGCTCACCTTCCCTGGTGGCAACGTAGCCGTGACTCATAGGGCTGCTAACCACGAGGTCCGCAGTTTGAAGGCCCCGGCCGCTCTACTGGGGAAAGCCAAGGCTTTTGACTCCCAGAAAGAGTTACCATCTCAGAAACCCACAGGGGCAGTTCTGTCCTGTCCTCCAGGGTCCCTGTGAGTTAGAATCGACTCGATGGCAGTGAGTTTGGTTTGGGGTTCCACTGGGATCCAGGTTCGATGGCCGGCCCAGGCATCGTCTTACAGTCACCACTGAGGGGGTTTCAATGGAGGGTCCAAATTATGATGAAACTGGCAGGCCTGGCTCTACGGCCCCAAACCAGCCATGGAAAGCTCAGTGGAGCGCAGTGATCTGAGCCGTGGACTAGGAGCTGACTCACGGCAGCCTCAAGAGAGCCCAGAGCCTCCATCTCCCCTCTGAGATAGCCCAGCCTCTAGAAGTGGCCTTTACCCCAAAGCCTGGGAGTCCCTGTGCCTTCCCAGAGTTGCCAACACTCGGACGCTTCTAGAAAGCAAAGGAGGAGGTAGTGTACCCGTATCATGAGGAAGCCTCCCAGATGCCACCAGGTGCCTGCTGAAGTAGAGTGCTGTCCCCACACAGAACGTCCAGCGTGTCCTGACCTTCCAGCCGCTGCAGTTCCTCCAGGAGCACATCCTGATCCCAGCCTTGGACCTCAGCGGCCCCAGCGGCCTCTCCCAGCCAGTCCAGTACACCCAGGTGAAGGTGCCGGCGCCCAGGGAGCCCCCAGGAGCCCCGCAGCTGCACGATCTGCCTGAGATCACCTACTTGGGGCAGGTGAACTCCTCCCGTCTCCAGCCTCCCAACGGGCCACCTCATCAGGCACTGTCCCCGCTGTCCTATGCACCTCAGGCTGGCCCTGAAACCAGGCCCTCATCCTACACACCTCAGGCCCCCCCCAAAGCTGAACCCCCACACTACACTCCACAGACTCTGTCTGAGGTCCTACCTTCCTCCTACGCCCCCCAGGCCACTCAGACTAGCTGGCCTCCCTGCTATGGGGTGTGTTTAGAAGGCTCTGGCAAAGACTCCCCTGTGGCACCCTCCAGTCCCAAGCACCCCATCCCTAAAGGTCCGCCCCAGAAAGAGGTTCTGGCCAGAAACTATGTTCCAGATGGCCTTTCCGTGCCTGCTGTGACCTCCTTGGCCTTGGAGGAGCCCCCAAAAGCAAAACCCTTCCACCAGCACCTGGAGGGTGACAGAGACATTGCTCCTGACCTGAATGGGGAGCCAAGGACACCAGGGTACTTAAAGGGCCAGCTCCCCCTGCTGTCCTCTGTCCAGATCGAAGGCCATCCTGTGTCCCTCCCTTTGCACACCCCTCCCCCTCCAAGCTCCCCCTCAGAACAAGGTCCAAGCCACTGGGGCCTGCTGGAGACCCTTGTGTGCCCCAAGGATGAGGTTTCAATGTCCAAGACAGAGACAGGAAACACAGACCCTCTGACCCCAGACCTGGAGCCGCCTGTTGAGCTGGGGTCCCTCTTCAAAGGCCTGGCTCTGACTGTGCAGTGGGAGGCCTGAAGGGAGAGCCACTGAGAGGCAGGGGCAAGGGCTGCTCTCCCTGTCTCCACTGACCTCACCCCCCCAATTATCACTTCAACGTGTGTCCTCCCTGCAGCCCAGCTCCAGGTGGGTGTCCTTGAGCAAATCGGAGGGTGGGGACCCTGGCTGTCCGCTCCCATTGCCCATTGGAGCTAAGAGATGTGATCAGGAATTGCCTGGAGGAGTTACGCATAGCATGCTGTGGGAGCGCAGGTCCCTGGAGGGAGGGGTCAGTGCCGGGAGATGGCCCAGAGGTCCAGGGCCCTAGTTCCTAGTGTTCTGCCTCACAAAAGCCCTCCAGGAGTACACGACCGTCCACCCTGCTCCCGGCCAGCTTTGTCAGCGAGCATGATGGAGAGTGAGCTCCCTGCCTGCTCTGCACCCCCAAAGGGGAGGACAGGAGTCTGAAACAGGGTGTCTGCTGGAACCAGACATCCTGCACCGCTGCCCCGGCCAGAGGTGGCACCATGGCAGGACTCCAGGGAGGGGCACAGCCTGCAGCTCATGCCTAACCAGGGCGACCTCCTGAAATGCCACCAATTTTACCTCATTCATCCCCTCCCTGGAGACTCTCCCTGAAATGCAAGTGCCCCCAGGGAGGGAGAACACGCTGCTTTTCTGCAAGAAGGCGTTTCAGGCCCTGTCCTGTCCTGAGAGCAGCATCCGAAAGGACGCTGGGACCGTGGGGTCCCTGGAGGCGATGCCAGCAACAAGCTGACTTCCTTCCCGCGTTGGGAGCTCAGCATAGCTGGGCCGGCATCCCGGCCTTGCTACTTACCAGCTGCATGACTTACAGGCAAGTGAATTGCAGCTTGGTTCCCGCGGTTCCTGTATCTGTAAGATGGGAAGGGTCAGTCCTCCCTCACAGAGTGGTGATGAAGAAGAAATAAAATAACATCTACATGCTTGAGAGCCAGCAGTGCCCAAGAAACGGCAGCTATTTTCTACTGTGGTTGTTTGTTTTTTAACAAGGGACGGTACAGGGAGTGACCCGCTCCCCAATTTGGGATAGCTTCAGAAGCCTCCTGGTCTCACCGGCTCACCGGGTCCGGTTTCCTCAGAATCGCTCCTGGTCAGGCCCTGGGCTGTGGGGACACACAGGGGAGGGAGGGACTGCAGGGATTCCAGAAACAGGGGCCAGAGACAAATGAGGCTGCAGGTGGGAGCTGTTTTGGAAGTGGCATGGTCACCTGGTCCCCAGACCTTTGGGCCTTCTTGCAGGCCTGCCTGCCCGCCCCCCACCAGCCCCACCCCACCCCACCCCGCCGCCCCCCCTTACTAGAGGCCACTCCAAGTCCACAGTGTCCACCTGCCTCTTGCACCTGCTCCCAGGTGAGGGCAGGGCCCCTTGCTGCATGACTCAGGGTGCTGTCATCTTCTACTGGCATCTCAGGTGGCCCCAGTGATGAGGCAACGGAGGCCCATGGAGGACAGGGGACTCACTGAAGGCCCCCTGGAGACCTGGACAGAGTTGGAGCTCAAGCCTTGGGCTTTTTGTCCTCATCAACAGAAGGAATGTCCCTCACTTGTTTGGATTCTTGGAGAACGAGATTGTGGGGGTACAAGGAGGAGAGGGCGCCGAGGGGGGTCCCTGAGGAGCAAACGCACCCCCGTCTCAAGAGCTCTGAACATTCCTGAGAATGGGATCAAACTCCAGTTACCTGGGGGCCCAGGGCATACCATTTTCCTTCCCTGTACCCAGGTGCGTCCCCCTTCTCCTCCCTGCACTGCAGCTGAAGGCCACACCGTGCTTATCAGTCTGTTATTAATATTTAACGTCTCTCCAGGGCCACCGGTTTAGGTCCCATATCCTGTGACAGGTGTGGGTGGCTCCCGGCTCTCAGCAGCTATAGCTCTCTGCCGTGCTGATGCCTCCTCCCTCCCCCACCCGGCCAAAGGCCTGCTTCCTGTCACCTGGGGAAAACTTGGCCAAAGGTTGATTCTCTTCACCTGGCCCGTTAACAAATACACAGGTGAGCAGATGGGCTACCCTCAGGCAGGTAAGTGAGGCAGGTTGCAAAGAGCTCTTCCGACCCCCAGGGCCACTCAGCTCCCTGCGCTCCTGCAGACGTGCCGCAAGCTGCACGATCCATACACTCTCCGGCCTCCCGGGCTGGTTGTGGCTACAGCCGCAGTAGGGGCTGGGCTGGGAGACTGGGCCCCATTCCCAGGAGTTTCCACAGCCCAGCCCCCAAAAGGGTGAGTCCCTAAGGGGCTGCCTGCCTGGAAAGCCGGGCAGAGCCAAGCCTCGGAGTAAGCAATAGTCGGCATGGCAGTAACAGTTACAGAGACAGAAGGAAGACTTCAGCCATGTTGCTTGGCTGTTCACATCCTGTATTACCCACCTGCCTGTGCCCCCCTCCACTACAGGTGGTGTCATTGATCACTTGCCCAGGAAGAAAATGGGGCTAAAGAAGCCATTTGCTTAAGTCAATTCCCAAACTTGCCTCATCATGAGAATCCCTTGGGGAGCTTCCCCAGACAGTAGGCTGGGGGGTGGGTGTGTGGGGTCCTGAAATCTGCATTTTTAATAAATACCTTTGGCAAGTCTTATCAGGTAAGTGGAGGAAGCAGTGTCTTAATACTACCACCTCATATTGCCTCCCTAGGATTGTCCCCCAGACAAGGAGTAGGGAGCAACAAGGCCACGTGGGTGATACCCCCCCATCACCCGCAAAGCCCCCCCACTTCCCAGGATGTGCATGGACTGCCATGGGTTTCCACTTGGGCTTCCCAGAGGACTAGAGGCTAGGCCCCTCTCTTTCTACAGCTGAGTATCAGCCTGGACTAGGAGCTGTAACCAGACGGCACTACAAGTCCCCTGCAGCTATCCCCACCCCTCCTTCCTGACAGTGGAACAGAAACAACAAGCCCACACAGGAAGGAACCTCCAGAGGAATACAGACTGCCCCTCTCCACCTCCCCCGCCCCTACTCCCCCCACCCCAGTCCCAGAAAATGGGCTCTTCTCCCAAAAGACATGCCTAAGCCGGGCATTTCCAACTCAGACCTCGGTTTCCCAGCAGCTATGTCAAGAATGGTTGGGTTACCAAATCCTTTCAGGACTAGTACTCATTACATTACTATAATCTACTTAATTACCTAATCCTTTAGAATGAATGGGTGCCAGTTGGGTCCTCCCTGAAACAGAGGTGGAATGAGGAGGACAAGACATTTGCTCAGGTGACTCAGGTCAAGGACGAGGGGGAAGAAGCCATCTGTGGCAGGGAATCCTTCAGGCCATGATGCAGAGTGGACCATACCTTGGCTAGCCCAACCTTGAGCTCCAGAGTACATTTTGCCTCAAAGCAATCTTACTTTGGAGAGAAATGACCAGCCTTTCTGGCCTTTGTCAACCATGTCCTGATGGCACAGTGGTTTACGCATTCAGCTAGTAACCCAAGGGTCAGTTGTTCAAACCCAGCCATCGCTCCATGGGAGAGGCCTGCACCAGCCTGCTTCACTCTCTAGAATCAGGTTGGGCAGCCCGGTCTGCTCCCTGGAGGCTGCGGAAGAGCAGGACTTCGCGGTGGATCCTGACATGGTCCCTTAACCTCACAGCTGACATGCTCCTTCTGGAAGGGATGCAAGAGGCCAGCCTCGTGACTGCCACACAAGCATGTGTGGGCATGAGATCAGAACTACCAAACCCCAAACCTGCCGCCAGGCCGATGCCATATGGGGCTGCAATCCCAAAGTCAGCAGTTCAAAACCACCAGCTGCTCCTTGGGCTGTAGAAAACCACAGGGCTTTCTACTCCCATAAAGAATCAAAGAACCACTCACTGCCCTTGAGTCGATGCTGACACCTAGTGACCCCTGTGGGTTTCTGAGACTGCCTTTAGAGAGGTGCTGACCATGCAGATCACTCTCCCAACAGGGCTCCCGCGCTCCCACACAGAGCGACGGTCTCGGAAATTCACAGGGCCAGTTCTACCCTGTCCAGAGGGTGCCTATGAGTCGGCATCGACTGGATGCCGTGAAGGAGGTTCCTCCACCCTCCTATGCCCGAGTCCAGATCAGAACCACCGGCTACCCTTCCTCTGCCACCCCAAGCTCTCTGGGTGGCGTTGTGAATCAACTTGGAATCGTAGGGTTGGTGGTTTAAATCCACCCTTCGGCGGCACTTGAAAAAGGCCCAACGATCTGTTTCTGTAACGATGACAGTCAAAGGCCTGTGGAGCTGCTCCCCTCGGCGGGATTGCCGTGACAGCATCACTTGGCAGCAACGTTTGCAAACTGAGAAGGGGGCGTGCAGGTCGTTGTGTAGAAGGGCTGATGCTGAGAGGAGGGGCAGCTTGTCGGAGGCCAAGGACAGGGGTGGGGAGCAGCTCCACCTGTTGCTGCAGCCTGAGAAATGCTGCGAGGAGGGGACAGCCCCCCCCCCCTCATAGTTCTTACCCATTGTCACTGCATGCTCTCAGTGCTGCTATATTTAAGACCCGTGCAGGCTCCAG